CCCCCTACCGTTCTTCTTTAAAATGCAAGGATTACATTACTCTTCAAAACAAAAGAGACTGGCTCTTAGTTCATAATATTCCACTCTAAATTTGCTGTTTGGTGCACAGTGAATATTAGTTATGCAAGCAGAATTTAAATTAATGATAAAACTAAGGGGTGTTTTGCCTTGAATTCCACTGTAAATGCTTTTTTTGGTCATTCTTCACTTCTGACCTTAGTCAGAAATGATAACAGCACAAAGAAAAATATTTGAATACACATCTGTTATTGACTAACAAAATAGTATAGTGCCCTTGCAGTTAATTAAAAAAATTCTAGTGCTGGCACCAAGGTATTTTCAGAGTAAAGGTCAATCCAAGGGTACAAATGGCAGCCATATGTGAGAATATAAACCTCTTCTAGAATTACAATCCTTTCGTAGAAGTAATATGTTAGAAGTCAATCTGTTATATAATCTGAGTGCTGATAACGTTGACAATAAAGAGTCTTTATTTTCCCAGTCATGTAAAAGAAGGATAGGTCCAACAACACACATAGCTGGGAGCTGCACTACTGAATGAATTACTTGTAATAGAATTTATTTGTCTTAAGCATACATACATTCCCAGTGGTGCAGTGTTGTTAGGTAGTCAACTGTGTGCATAAATATATGAGGCTAACTATCAAGAGAACACGTTTCAGTGCATTAAAGCAAGACTTAATAATAGCAAAATCTACATCTATATGTAAATAACTGTATGAATCATTGCTCTCCAGTAGCCCCCACTCAGAATAACTTAATACATTTAAATGGGCATAGGCACTCATGACATAAGATGAGGATTAGGAGAGCCAAATAACAGATGGCATCTGTTTCAGTCACCAAAAGGGGATGGCTGTATAAAAAAACAACCTAACTATATAGTTCTTATCTGGAGCATGGTTGGAGTGGGGAGATCTGAAAAAAAAATGGCATAGTACCCAGTTTGAGTTAGATTGGCCGGATCATGGAATAATCTCTAATGCATGTGGGTTTCTTTACCCATTGAAGCAAGTAGACTTGCAATAAATCAGTGATCAAACAACTGGGTCTACAAGAGGTACAGCCACATTCAGGCTGGAAACTAGACAAACTGTGACACCCCTATTGCCTGGTGGTGGGGTTTACTTGCTGTATTTGTCAAAGGTTCTGGTGATTACTAGGGATGCACTAATACTTTTCGAGTACCAATGCCGATACTTGGCATTTTCATGAGTGCTAGCAGGGTTGTAGCGGTTGCAGCTGGGACCTGGTTATGGTGCTCCACCACTGTCCTGAAATCATCGATATTGTTTTAGAAAAACTGTCACATGACAATAAACAAAAATTTGTCAGTACTCGTACTTGTAAGTACTTGGGCAAGTACCAGTACTTTTACTCTCAAAACTGGTATCAATGCATCTCTTTATTTATATTCATAAAAACAAAATCATACATTAAAACAGAGATGTACAAATCCCAGGAGCTCCATGTGCTCCTTACAAATGACAGCTGCCTCCTAACTTTTGAATTTTTCTCTAGTCTAGTCTTGGAGCTGGAAAAGTATCGGTACATGTACTTGTACTTGTACCGAGTACAGTACTTGGTATCGGTGCATCCCTAGTGATTACTATTATGATTGGACATAAAGTGTAAAGATTCCTTATAGATGACAATATATCATGGTAACAAGAGATGGAATAGTAACATAGTTACAAAGTTAGTCAGGTTGAAAAAAGACACAAGTCCATCGAGTTCAGCCTATAGAGTCCATCGAGTTCAACAGTAAGTTATAGTTTGAACAACTTCACAAGCAACAGATTCCTCCAAAATGCTCTGAACAAAATATATCAGCACTAGATTTTACATCTAAATAACCAAGTTATAGTTATTCAGATTGCTTCTTACAATGGAACTGTTACTACTATAATTTGTAGTAAACCTTTTCGCTTTTTAAGCAGCTCTCTGTTTGATTTTTGATATTATTTTATGAGTTATTCGAAAGGGACAAAAACAGAACATGCAAAGGAAATTACGTCAGAAATAGGACCACCTCAAATGTGTTGATTTAGCGTCAAGATCTACAAACTTAAAGGCAGGTGAAGCAAAGCAAAAGCCAACTGTGTCTTCTGTGATGGTATTCAAACAACAAGTAATTTTAGCATTGCATCTGAAGTATTCTAGCAAGAAGCATTCATTCACAGGTATCATGACTTCAAAAGCAGAAATGACACCCAAATAACTGGAGCCTGTGTGGGTGGTACCCTTCCCCCACAACACTGTCTAGAATTTGAGATGGCTAACACATTCACAATAACCTATTTGGTGCTCAGTTAACTGCAGAAAACAGTGCCCATTGCAGACTGCAGAATGTGTACTTCTTCTCAGCCTTAACTCATTATCTATTTTTAGGAAGGTATCCTATTTAAATACTATATTAAAAAAAACACTACTACTACTTCTACAGCTACTACTGCTACGTATAATGATAACAATAATACTTATAATGATAATAGTAATAATAACAACAACAAAACTAGCAACATAATCTCACTATATTTCAAGGATCTGCCATATACTTGTTCTAAAGTTGCTGTATAAATAAAGTCTATTTTTAAAAAAAAAAAGCATTGCATATTGCAGTTTACCAGTCCTTAGACATGGTGGCTGCATTTGTATTCCTTTTTTTCTTTATTTTCACCATGAAATCCTGTGAAAAATACACTTCCTCTCCCTGGGTGGTTACACTAACTCCCCCACTGTATCTATGGAGGGAGCCATGGTTGTCGTCCAGACTAGTCTAGAAACATGTATGCCTTGGTTCATCTCCATTACATGAGGGTGGGGAGATTAGTCGTTTACAGAGGGAAGATAACATTGCCTTATGTTTCTATTTCCACTCACAAGAAGGGGCAAGGACATTGCATATCTGGATCAATAGGTATTTTTTGCACTAAAAAATGTTCTTAGCTTTAAAAAAAGTCAACTAATGCAGCCACCACATCAATAGACTGGTAAGCTGCAATATATTACATTTTGTTCTTGGGTTTAGTTATTCTTTAATTTAAAGCCCAGCCAGGGGCACAAACAAATCACAGCTTTACTGAAGTTATACATTCAATTGTATCCTACAACTGTCAAATCTGTTCCTTGACATGTTGGGGAAGGTACAGCTTCTTCTGTACTTACATGCCCACTGGCATTTAAGCACTGCAGGTCTCGTAAACCCCAGCACTACAGTCACGTCTCTGCCCCCCTCTCCTCCATGCTATTCACAAAACAGAGCTTGGAGCTGGGTGTTTTATGTGTTACATTCAGAGGTGCATTGTGTGTTCAAAGAAGGCAAAGCCTTTGCATGCAACATGTATGATTTTCTAAACCTCCCTATTGATCAAAGGCGGCACAGAAAACTAATTCGTTCATCAGTTTCTCCCTAAATATGTCTAAAGATGTTAAAGTAAAATATTTGATTGACTCTAAATAGTAAATGCCACGAGTTAAACCTGGAATACAAAATATACCTGCCAATGATTGCACATACCCAGATTGCCAGTGCTGTAGCTGCCCAGTGATGTTCTATGCCTGATTGATGGTGCATTAATGTGACACTGCACATTATTATATGATGAATAATGACAACAGCAGTACAATCACCACAATATGTCATAGAGAATTATCAAACAAGTCAGTGGGAAAGATATGGGTGTGAATGAGCTCTGAATCCTTTGTGGTTTTGCTATGACCTGTGATCATGTGACTTACGCAGCTAATAGCTTACATAAATTAATTTGTGTAGTTCAGTCCTAATAATAGAGTCATAACAACCCAGAAAAAAAGGTTCTGATAAAAATAGAGCACATTGGTTGACAAGCTTTAGTCATATAATATACTAATCCTCAGGTGTATGTTCTTCCATCAATAAAAGAAAACAGCTGAACAAAAAACATATGGATACTGAAAAATTATATACAATTTGCTGCTATCATTCATAAATGACATCACATTGAAAACCTTTCAATGGCCTCTAGACTTTTAACAATTCATAGGAGAATTCTTCCACATCCAGAGGGTATTTCAGTGTGCTTTAAAGGGATTAGAA